AAGTTTTCTAGGGTGTCCAGTTATAGTGTTAAATCAAACGGCCCTATGGTTGTAGTCCTCTAAACATCCTATGCAAAAAGGAAACATGCTTGAAGTTATAGGATATAAAATATGCAGTACAGGGCAAACAGTAGGATACATGTCGAACAGTAGTAGGCAAAAAAAACAGGAGTAGTATAACATGCTATACAGGAAGAACAGTAGCAGGTGTAAAATAGGAGTAATATGACATGCTATACAATACAGTAGCAGGTGGAAAAAGAAAGCAGGAGTAATATGACATACTATACATTACAGTAGCAGGTAGAAACATGACAAGTATAACATGTTGTACAGTACGGTAGCAGGTAGAAACATGACAAGTATAACATGTTGTACAGTACGGTAGCAGGTACAAACAGAAAAAATAAATGCTGTAAAATGTAAAACAAACTTGTACGCCCCTGAGATCCGCTGGTGCTTAAGTATAGAGATCCGCTGTTCCTAAAGTATAGCAAGTCTAAATGCATCGCAAAAAGCGAAGTCTGAAAGAAACGTCGTCAGGAAACCCGAGGAAAAGTGGAAAACTCGAGAAAATCAACGAAAAAGACTCAAATAAAAGAAAATCCTCAAAACTCCTGGGGAAATCCCGAAAGAAAGAAAAAGTAACACGAGCGCCCTGTCCTAAAGCTTCGATAAAACAAAAAGAAGATTCGGATAAGAAGTATTTATTCTCGAGGGTCCGCGAAGGCTACTCGGTCACCCGAATGTATAGAACCCGCCACGCGTCTAGAAGGGTGTCTTGAACCTCACTTAGAGGACTATTTCCTAGCCTAAACAGGTATTCGTCAGGTGGACAACCAACTTTAAAACGTATTTTAAAATTTATGTTTTTGACATACACACAAATTTTAAACATGCAAAGAAGAGTTATCAATTTTGTTTCGTAGAAAAGTATGTTTTCGTTTGAAAATGGTTTATCAAAACTTATCCTTTTTTTTTAGAAATTTTTGTTGTCCACGAGTCGATTACGCTACCAGTCATAGGACCACCAACAACCTGAGGAGGTTCAAGCCAACTCCCGCTAGACTTATGTCGGTGAAGGATACCATATTCTATTGTTCATCAAATGCTTGGATCTTGATGTTATAGGATAAAACATCTTTCTGCTCTATCTTCGATGTGTCTTTATCATCAACACCGTACGCCCCAAAACGACTACTTGCGACCCTGCTTGATGGTTTCACGCATAGCAAAAGGCTATACGTGGACACTTATGCATCAGACATAAGCATCGAAAACCGAACCAAGAAGCAAGGAAAAAAAAAAACAAAAATGGGGTGAGAGAGAGGAGGGACTGATCCACCTAAAGCATCGAAAAGAACGAATGATGAATCAACTCTCAAAACTTATAACAAAAAGAGAGACACGGCCAAGGAAAAAAAAAAAAAAAAAAAGGGGGAGAAAACCCAATCGAGAAAAATCGGGCAGCATAACAACACAAAAATGAATTTTTCACACCTGCAATTTACACAACTATGAAAGTACACAAGCATATGAATGACAACATCCAGTATTTCCATCAATCCCAAGCATATATGTAGCATAGATAAAGAGACGAGTGAAGAAATTGTGTAAGATGGGAATATGAGCAATGTGAGCCAACTTCTACAAGTGTACAAGCGCAAATTTCATACTCAAGCAGGTATAAACATGATGTAACTTCACAAGTGCAAAAAATATTTGTTTTGGCAAGTATAGATTGATAGACACCTCTTTTGTGCATGAGAAGGGGTGGAGAGTGTGCAAAAAATAAAGCTTAGGTGTTATGCATATGAATGACATATAACATTTTTCATGAGTGTTTCAAGTAGAGTCATTCCCAAATCCGAAAATTCCATATGAAGGCTTTTTCCAAACAAAGCCACATATAAAGCGTTAGCTTGCACATAAAAAGGGCTCCAAAAATCCAAGTATGAGACATATAACTGGCACATGAGAAAAGCTTCAAAAAGCCATGTGTAAAGCCAACCCTTGGCCTACCAAAATACTTTAAAAGCTAAAAGGAAATCTCATATTTTCACATGTAAGGGAAGACTCCCAATGCCATGAATAAATCCCAATACTTTAGCACATGAAAGGTATTCCAAATGTCATGAACACACTTCACATTTTGACATAGAAAGAGGACTTCATAAGCTATACAGATCTTCTTTTTTTTTTAGGAAGAAAAAGAAATCTCGAAAGCTGCATATTTCGCAAAGCTAACCATATCCATCACATGTGAGCATGAGAAAGAGATTAGAGAGCCATATAAATCCTAATGTTGATGTATAAGCAACATTTCAAAAATTGAGCACATGTATTGAAGCTTAAATGTAGAAAGAGAGCTTCAAATTCTAATTTATATATCATGTGAAAGAGAGTTATATGTCAAATCCTAGCATGCGAGGAGTGCTTCAAAATTGAATGAATATTCCAAAGTTTGCCCTCAAATAGGCAAATCAAGTATGTCACTAGAGCTTTGTCATAAACATGAAGAAATCAAATCAATCTATGCCTCTTTTTTTTTTTCTTCCCTAACTTAAGGTAAAGCAAACAGTACATGTGGAGTGATAACACCAACAAAACACAATTCATATGATTCAATCAAACACTTCTATGACTTTAGCATGATGAAAATCCGGTCATCTTAAATATTCCAAATAAAAGGATGTATCTCATGAAATCCTCAAGAAAACAAAACTTATCTTTTCTCTCCCTCTTTTTTTTATAAGCCACCGATTTTTTTTCATATAAAATCAAACTGAAGAAGCACCATGAGAATTAAAAATGAGGAGAAAAGAGAGGGGAAGAAGTTACCCCTGGAGGCAGAACCAAAGAAAATGCAAGAATAAGCCTCACAAAATTTCAGCAGCACCTCTCCCTTCCTCTGAAAATTTCGGTCAGCCCTAGGAACTCCCCGAAATGGGGTTTTTATAGCAAAAGAGGGAGGAAAAAGAATTTCATTGCTCGCCTGGGCGGTGAGCCGAGCCAAGAGAAGCGACAAACCTCGCGTGAGGAGATGACGACGAGAATCGCAGAGGCGGGGGAGGGAAAAGCCGGAGCGCGTCAGGGGGAGTAGGTGAAAGTTTTTCACAGGGCGGCTAGGGCTCACGATCGAGAGGAAGGAGGAGGATGTGAGAGAGAGATAATGAGAGAGAGGGAGGCCGGTTCGCGAACGAGAGGAAGGAGGAGGGCTCAGTCGGTTCGCGAACGAGAGCAAGGGAGGCGAGTGAGTTTAGGGATTTAGGGATTTAGATACTTAAGGTATATATACATTTATAAATATACATATACATATACATATATATATATATATATATCAAATTTCATGCGATTTATTTGTGCGTAGTGCCCAAGCAAAATGGGTGTCCTCCCTAGACAAAATCGACGCTCTGGACTTGCCGGTGCAGTCCGTTTTGTCATCCGAGGTCGCTCGGACGACGTCGTTGACAATTGGGTCAAAAACTCGTCAAAATTCAAATTTCACAAAATTTCAACCCGCGATCGATCGTTTCAAAAGGTTTATTCGAGCCGACGATAGGTAACAGTGCAAGCGATGTGAATTGTGGCGATCAGACGTGTCGATTCTCCGAATTGCGAAGTTTTGTGCGCGCGGGAGTGCGAATTGTGCAGAAGGCGCACCCTAAGGCTCAGAAAGGTCCTATAGGAATTCCTTTTGGGTTTCCTCATGTTGATTTCATCCTTCTAAGTGCTAGAAGTTGACACCACACACGCGAAACCACAAAAGAGGACAGAAGTAGGTCGAACTTCTAAAATGAGGCGGGTCCCATTTCTAAGGTTCTAAGATAGGCAAAGGGAAATTCCTAAGGCTAGATCCTAAACCCTAAGAGGAGGACTAGACCCCACAAAAAATGAGGTCAACAATAAATAAGCCACGTTTTGGCATTTTTATAGTCGCTTAGTTATTGTCATTTATCTTAATCAAAGCCATTCCCAGCTAACCTAATCTTTGTAGCAGATGTAAGAATTTCCTCAACTAACTTACCTTTTAGATCAGGATATGTTAAAGTACCTTGTTCGTAAAACACATGACAAGGTGAGAAAATATAAAAAAGGGGCATTTACACACAACAGAAAATTCAAATGAATATACATATCTCACACCTAAACTTTCATATTTACACATATAGCACTCAAATCTTTAATATCACATAAAAAATAGCACTATTACCGCTCTTAAAAAGTGAAATACACCTATTCATGCATAGGTTTAAAGCACCAAAATGCTATGTATGTAAATATGTAAGTTTAAGGGTGAGATATGTAACTACATAAGAATTGTGTACTAGGAATGTAAATTTGCCTAAAAAAAATGCTCTGCTTAAAAAAGAAAATACTGAGGTATAGGAAATACTGAATAAAAATTAAGTGACCACAATTCATAGGAAAGAGAACAATATGAAGATGATCATTACATATGTTGAAAATTCCAAAAGAAAAATGAGTCCTACACTTTATAATATTACAAATACTATATACTACCTTCTGCTTTTTCTTAAATTCTTCCCATGTTATTGTGTGGGATGTATTCAGGCTGGCCAAACGAGCAGCATGCCACTCTGGTGAATGAAAAGTACCATCAACCTGTGACGGCCCTCGTTAGTAAAAATTCCAGTAAAACAATTAAGCAGAAGCATCGATTAAATACAATTAATATAAGGGGCCTTTACATACACTCCACCCAATTCCTATGTATTTGCATATATAACACCTAATCATTACTTTTTTACAATTATAAAACCAAATATTTCAAAGCACATAAAAAATACCACCATTTTAACTATTTAAAAAGTGAAATACACCTTTTCATGAATATATAAATTTTAGTTTAGGTGTTAACTATATAAATACATATGAATTAATTGGTTAAATATATAAATACATAGGAATTGAGTGGTATGTATGTAAACCTTCCTTAATAAAACATGGAAAGCTGTATTTGTTTTAGTGTATTTTAAAGCATTCGAAAAAAGAGAACCATGAAAGTAAGCTTGCTTGATTGCATACAAATCAACAGTACAAAAGGGTTGACATAACTCAAGAATGCATTCATCTGAGAGAATTCATAGCAAGAACACTGAAAGAAAATTCAAAGTATTATCATCAAAATCCTCAAATACATCACTAATAAAACCTGATCAATTTTCACTTTATATTTATCACATTTTCATTGGAAAAACAACCATAAAATGTCAAACGTCTTTGCAATAAACTACAACATAAAAGAAGACAGGGCAGTGCCATAAAAAAATAAGGCATTTACATGCATACCAGAAAATTCTTATGTATTTACATAACTAACACCTAAAGTTTCATATTTACATGCATATACCTAAAATATTTAATATCACATCAAAAATACCACCATCAATATCTTTTTAAAAGTGAAATACATATTTTCATGAATAGGGTTATGGCATCAAGGTGTAGTAAGTGTAAATATCAAATTTTGGGTATTTAATATGTAATACATAAGAATTGTGTGGTATGTATGCAAATTTCCCAACCAAATTAAAAATAAATTACATAGTTATAGTTACATCTGGTATAAATAACGGTTTATGTGTTAGTGTAACCATTCTCTTCATAAATATGATATCAAACAGAATGAATAAAATTAACTAGAAATTTCTGAAAGGAATATATGCATTTACATATCTGCCTCCTCACCTCCAATTATATGTATGTGCCCAGGAGAAACTATCAAAAAATCAACTTAAGAGTTTGTATTGTGTTCTTATACCAAGAAATTAAATATTTGAAATCCTATAAGAACTTGAATACACACCAAGCATTTAGGCAAGAACACCCTTTTCTTCTACAAACATAATTCTGGTCTTGAGAATAAATATGTTGATGCTCCCAGTAAGATTTATAATTTACTTAGAACCATGACTATGAAAGAGCCTAATTTCAAGTGAATAAAATATGGATAGTTTATAGAAACCTTAATGACAATTACTCTGAATAAAAAAAAGGAATCTACCAATTCTAGCTTATCTATTGTAAGTCTGCTATCCACTTGTTGTAAATAGAAGGGAAAACAACTAAAATCAAATCCACGGGCTTCTCTCTCTATGTTCCCTTATTATATGTGTTGTAATTTTCTTATGTATTTAGCTTGTTTCAGTAGTATTTTCAATTCATCCTCGTTGTGATGAATCTGGAAGTTCCAGAAAATTTTTCCATGAATTGTGTTTTTATAGCATATTTCTTCCATAAGAACACTATAAGCAAATTGTACTTTGACATTATACTATTCAGTTGGTTTGTACTGTATAATGAAGAGAATTTCCATGTTTTCTTCCCTTTCTTCCTTCATATCTTCTAACAATATTTGTCTAGCATTGACTTCCACTACGTTTGTCTTGAATTGAAGCAAAACAAATTCATTTTATCGTCTAACTATAGTATTTATGATGGATTCCTTCTAAAAGGAACCAAGCTATGCACATTCATTCCAGTTTATGTGGTTCCCTTGGTGAGAGTTACAAGCTGGACCAATGATGGATCGATCATGCAGATCAGGTAAAACAATCCATTTGGTAAGGAATAGGCTTTGTTGGCCACTAATTAAAAAAAAATGTTGGTAGGACTGTATTTCAATGTTAAACTCATCAGTGAGGTAAGGATGTCAAGAGAGAACTTGGATTCTATATTCCATTACTTGTATAGAATGTGTCATGGTAAGACATTAGCATGGATTTCAACTTAGCATTGTCAATGAACGACCAATGTCAAGATTCTATACCATTCTTAGTCAACGGATTTTTCTATAGAACACTTTTTATTTTGAGAATTTTACATGCATAGCCCACAACTCTTATGTATTTACATATCTCACACCTAACCTTTCATATTTAAATACATAGCATTTTGTTGCTTTAAACCTAGATATGAAAAGGTGCATATCACTATTAAAAAGTGTCAATAGTCCTATTTTTTATGTGATATTAAAGATTTGAGTGCTATGTGTGTAAATATGAAAGTTTAGGTGTGACATATGTAAATACGGTGTGACGACATATGTAAATACATAAGAATTGTGTGCCACGTATGTAAATGCCCCTTTTATTATATGTTCTAAAATTGTTGATTAGTCTATTAAGTGAAGTTGTACATTAAAAACAATTTTTGCATGCATGGGCTGCTACTTCGGTTATGTTTGATACAAATGTAAGGTTTGTCAACTATTTCAATATAACCTTTTGCAACTCAATTGATTTCATCTATTACTCATCTTCAGATTGATGAAAAATTAAAGTTGTTAAATAAAATTTAGGAAATCGATTATAATTGCTAATTGACAGTAGTATGAGAAATTGGGATTTATTTCTACATAGAAAACCATACTGATGCTAAATTTTCTTTAAACAACTATGTTAATACTTCTGTAGGAAAATTCTCTTTCAGGTGGTACATAGATCATAACTTAGAAAGACTAAAGGTGTGTTTGAGACAACTTTCTGTCTGTTTCGCGTTTAAAACCGCCACCATGATTTTGTTTAGGGAGCTACTTTCTTGTTACTTTCTGGAAATTTCTGTGGTGGGAAATTATTTTATTCCAATCTAACCTATGCGGTGGTTGTAAGAAAGTTGTTTAATTTTTGGGGGAAAATATATATTTATAATTCTCACCACAACCTTACAATCAGCTTTATAAACGCTGCAGTCACCCCATATAGATCCTAGATATCTCGTATATTTACACATAAATTCACAATTTGATTCTACTGCACATTTGTTAAGCATATGAATAAATTACATTTTACCATAAAAAATCAAATCACTCCAAAAAATGAAAAATAAAAAAACCACAATGGATATTTAAAAGAAATTTCAATAGCATATAAAAGTAATTACATGTTAATTCACATTTAGCCCAACAAATTTTCGCATAGTACAACTAGTTAACTCCATGCCCTTGTCCATTCTCATAAAAATAATAGAAATTTACATACATAACGCACAATTCTTATGTATTTATATTTCTAACACCGAAAATTTGATTTTTATATTTGTAACACCTTGGTGTCATTCATTTTTAAAAAGAGTGATTGCGATTGTTAGAAATTATATTAAGAAATAATTTATTCCTGTTAGAAGTTATGAAAATTAAATTTATTTCCTTTGATTTGAATTATTACATTTTCTATTTTATGCTTTATGTTATTTTTTTTTATCTTCAAGTAATTAATATGAATTGATTAATTGAAGATATAGGTAAGATTCTCTGGTGGAGATCTTACTAGTTGTTTGCTTCCCAACGACTCTCTCTTGTGGAGAACTATTGATGGTTTTCTGAAGGCAGCCGACCGCTTATCCCTCCGACAGGTGTTTCAGCTTTTGGAACTCCCTCCAGCTGGCTCAATCTCCCTCCAATACCATTGGAGCTTTTTCTGCAACAGGTCCTCCACCGGAATTCTTCCTGCAGCAGGCCCTCCTCCGGAGCACTTTTCTGCATCAAACCCTCCTCTGGACTATTTTCGTATATCAGGCTCTCCTCCGGAGCTTCCAGAGCTCTTTTTGCAGCAGGTCCTCCATTGAGATTTTTACTGCAACAAACCCTCCTTCGGAACTTTTTTCTTGCATTAGGCCCTCCTCCAAAGTCTTTTCCAGCATGAGGCTCTTCTTTGGAACTTTTTCCTGCCGCAACCCTTTCTCTAGAGTTTTCCTACAACAGACCATCCTTCAGAGTTTTTCCCTGTAGTAGACATTCCTCAGGAATTTTTTTCTTGTTATAAGCCCTTTCTCAGGCCATATCTCAGGCCATGTCCTGCAACTTTCACTGCAGCATTACCTGTAGGAGTCTTTCGCCCACCAACAGGCACTGCAAAACTACAGCACGACAACCGCAGTCAACTAGAAGTCAATTTTTTATGCAGGTTGTCTACTTTCCTGCAAACTTCTCAGTATTATTACTTATATGAGTCTTTCGTCTACCTACAGACACTGCATAAGCTGAAATCAAAGACAAACGCGATACGGGATGACGACTTCAAGTTCTATCTCACAAGATCTTCTTGTCTATTGATGTTTTCAAATTCAAGTTAAATATCATTTCCAACTATATTAACTTGAGTGAATGTTTTAGAAGTTATATTAGGAAATAACTTATTCTTGTTAGAAGTTATGATAATTAAATTTATTTCCTTGGATTTGAATTATTTCCTTTCTTATTTTATGTTTTATGTTATTTTCTTTATCTTCAAGTAATTAATATGAATTGATTAATTAGAGATGTATGTATTATATCTTTTATTTCCTGGCCTTTGCTTTTTATTATCTTTCATATTCTAGAATTCATATAAGAGTTATTTATACTTCTGTTTCATATCAATAATATCATTTTGCATTATTCTGAATTTCAAGAGTGATATTTTTTTATATGATGTTAAAGATTTGAGTAGTATGCATATAAATATGAATGTTTAGTGTTATGTATATAAATGCAAAAAAACTGGGCGGTATGTATGTAAATTCCCCATAAAATAAGTTGAGAAGCTTGGATAGGAACCATATATTATAGAATTTTCAGCTAAAATGAACATTGGTCTGGCTTGCTCTATGAAGACTCTTGTTCTCATCAGTGCATCGATGACAGTGGCAGCGGGGCACTCTCAGATTCCAAGATCCTTCAGGGTAAGGCGACATCCTATATATTATGACTTAAAATCTGAGCATAGATAAAGCCGAACCAAATGTTCAGCCATTAGGGCAAATATTCAGCCCTCGCCTAAGTGACTTAAACTTCCTGAACCGAATCAAATTACTTACTCCAAACCCTCAAATTCCCATAAGAAACCGATTCCATCCTCAATCACAACAGTAAGAAAACAAGTCAACCTCTCTACATAAAACTTAAAAAAAAAACGAAAACGTAAGAAGAAATAGGTCAATAACAAAAGATCGATGGTATGAAAAGGTACGAACCCTTCCGTCCTCGAACTCCTCAGGCCCTGCCTGGCCCGAGAGCCTCGACCTCTGCATAGCTTTGTAGGCCTGGTTCTTCCCCATCTCGGATAATATATGATTGATCAACTCGTGAAGAGACGGAATGGCGAATCTAGTCGGAGAAGGTGGATCCAGTATCGGAGTTGATTCCAGATTAGATCAGCAGGAAGAATTTACAAAGTTCCATTAGAGAAGGAGGGTCTCGATCGATGGCGGAAAGCTGGCGGGTCGCATCGGATTTTGATTTTTGATTTTTCTTTTTTTGAAGAAGAGGAAGAGAAGAAGAGGATCGGATAGGGTCTTTGTGATTTTAACAGCACCGGTTAGAGTGGCCTAGGTGCGGGACCATAACTTTTAGCTAGTTTAATTTGAAAGTTTTGAGGGGTTAATGTGTAAATATATAGAATTGGGTGTTGGATGTGTAAATAAATGAGTTTTAGCCTTGAATGGATTTAGGGAAAAATATTACATCGCACCTACAAATACCGTGCTTAGCCAATAAAATCACGTCACGCGCGACAGGAGAAAAAAAACGGCGCAGTAACACGAGGAATATTCTCCCCCGTGTTATTCATGTGTTATTAATGTGTTATTGTGTTATTATAGCACCAAGAATATTCTCAGTATACAATAACACATGAATAACACACAATAACACTTGAATAACACGAGGAATATTCCCGACAAAGAAAAAAACGGCGCAGTAACACGAGGAATATTCTTCTCCATGTTATTCATGTGTTATTGTGTGTTATTCATGTATTATTGATGTGTTATTGTGTTATTATAACACTAAGAATATTCCTATGACACAATAACACATGAATAACACGGAGGGGAATATTCCCCATGTTACTGCGTCGTTTTTTTTTCTCTGTCGCGCAGGGTTGCGTTATTTCATTGGCTACGCATGTTACTATAGGTGCTTAGTACTGATGTAATATTTTTTCATGGATTTAGTGTGGCTCGAAACTAGCTCATGGTTTGTTATATTCGATTTCGAGCTGAGGCAGTTCAACATTGAATCGACCTCAAATTGAGTTATTTGGATCAATTTCAGATTAAAATTAGTTCAATCTGGCTCCAAATTGAAACTAATTGTTGCTTGGATCATTTCAGGCTCGAAATCGGCTCAAAATTGACTCGTGACCCGTTCTATTCAATTTTTATATTAAGAAAAAAATTACTAAAACTGATCTCGAGTGAGTGAGCCGATCCATGGATGGCTTGAAATGTAATCGAAAAATATTGAATTCAAAGTTTCGGCTCATGGCTGGCTCGTCTTTTTCGATCCCATCTCGATCCGAGCAAATTTCAATCGATCTTCAATCAATTACCCAGCTGAATTCTCGAGATCTTTTAGTAAAATTTACATATATACAATATAATTTTTACGTATCTATAAATCTCACACCTAAACTTTCATATTTACATATATAATATATATATATATATATATAATTTTGGTGTCATAAAAGTATGTGCATAAAATGTGTATTTTGTCTTTAAAAATTCAGGAAAAAGTTGCATTTTTCATGTGATATTCATGTGATATAAATTTAGAAGTTTAGAATTTAGATATGTAAATACATAAGAACAATGTGGTATGTACATATGATTCCCCTATAGTCTTTTTGAATCTCATATATAGCAATAAAAAATTAAGGGGCTTTTACATAATAGCACCTAAAACTTTTATATTTACCCGTCTCACACTAAAACTTTCATAATTATAAACATCATACGAAAAGTAGCACTCATTATCACATTTTAATAGTCAAATTCATCTTTTCATCCATAGGTAAAGTGCTATGTGGGCAAATATGAAAATTTGGTTTGGGTGTGAGATAGCCTAAATCCATAAGAATTGGGTGTTATGTGTGTATGTTTTCAAAAGTATGATATGATATAGATTTTAATGTATGTAGGTTATAATATCCTACCATAATTCAAGCAAGCCGATCAAACTATATCGAATAATTAAAATAGATATCTAAACTATCATAATTAAATTATTAAAAGGAATATTTGGAATGATGAAATAAGCTAAAGAGTACAAGAAATGCATATATTTACTTGTATGCCCCTCCAAGGTGGAATTTAAATAAGTGAGTTTAATCTCAATGAACAATATAAGGAAAGGAGCAAGTGGTTTGATAAAATAATTTATTAGTTGATCCTTAAATGATATATGAGCCATATGAAGATCATTGTTGTGGGCATAATCCCAAATCCAATGAGAATTAGTGTCCACACGTGTTATTTTGTGACTGAAGATAGATGGGTAATTTCAAGTCGCTAAAATAGATTAATAGAACTTGAGAGAGGTTGATGTCAGATTTGATTAGTAAAAAATAGACTTAGAGTCTGTTTGAGATAGTTGCAGTTGTTTGAAGAATTAGCTGTGAAGCTGCTGTTTAAAAAGTACGGTGATTATTACAAAAAACAAAATAAAAAACGTGAGACTGTAACTTTTTAGCAGTCATCACACTTAGCCATGTTTGGTAACAAAGCACAATTTATAGCTGTAGTTTTTTTTGAAAAAAAATAGACAAAACACAATTGCACCTAACAGAAAAGATTGCGGTGCGACACTGCATTGCCGCCTCACCCTTCATAATGTTCAATAAGATACTTTACTGATTAGCGTTCTGAGTTATGACCACAAAACACGATGTGTGAGTTGAAGGCATAATTGTTACGAGCTTAATCAGAGGATAAAATCTACATAATATGGGTACTGTTTTCAAACTTCGTTAGTTATAATCTTAAAATTTAAATCATCACAATTTATGAATTAATAACACCTTTTATTATTATCTTTTCATTCAAATAAAGTATTATTGAACAAGCTTATATTCTTACCAAATCATTGCTTGGTTTTATGGGTGGAAGCAAAAGATATTGTCTTCTGCATAAATGTTACAATTTATCAAAATCATCATTTAGAATTATTCTCTATATTGATTTAGGTCCTTCTTTATGCCAAATAGATTTAGTAAATAGACAAGTCTTTACTTTTAGAGTTATTTATTTCATAATGAAATTGAAAATAAGGCAGATTATGGGCCCGTTTGGGGCAGCTTATTTAGTGCGGTGACATTTTGAAAACGCATCTTATCTGTTTGGGTAAACCGCGTTTTGACAGTTTATGTGTTTTCAAAACGTTGAAAACAACATTTTCACGCCGCACCTATCTAGGTGTCGTGGGAGTTTTCTGGCCGCGGCCTGATTTTTCCAAGAAATAAAATTTGTAATAGTCACCGAACCTAGCTTACCAGCAGATCTACAGCTGCCCCAAACAGACCCTATGTCTCATTGCATAATGCTAACCTTTCAAAAAAGTTATTAATGCCATGGTAAATGAAAACATCTTTAATGCCAATTTGTTGATCTTACTTTGCATCAACATTCTAAACATTATAATGCCAATTTTAGTTGTTGCATTAAATGTCTTAGTCATGAGCACTCAAACCTATCACCATTCTATTTTCAACTAATATGTAATATATTCAAGCACAACATGAGCTTTTCTTTGCCAAAAAAGATTACTGAAAGTTTCATGAGTATGTTCGGCTGCATACATGACTAGGGTTTTCAAAAGATTTTTTGTTCATAAACAGCTCGTGTTCTGCTCGCTAAGCAAACGAGCCGAACACGGACAAATTTTTTGTATTCGAAATATAAACGATTTAAATACAAACAATGATATTTTTTAACGAGCTGAACATGAGCTGAGCTGGAGCTCGCTCATGTTTTTACACCCCTTGTAAGATGTTAAGGGTAGTGCGAGATTTAAATCCTATTATTTATATTAAAATAATCATTTAAATAAAATTTAATATATTTTTATTCTATTTTAAATTAATTATTTTAAATTATTATTCATCTTTATAGCCTTTCAATGAATTTAATTATTTAAAAACAATAATCATTTTTTTTATATTATTATTTAGTTATTTAATTATTTCGAGCCAAAACAAGCTGAACACGAACGAACAAAACTTTATTCTTGTTCAACTCATTTATATATCGACCGCAAAAAAAAATATATATATATATATATATATTTTTCATGTTCAACTTATTTGTTTAGCGAATGAATCGAACACAAGCTACTTAACGAGTCAAACACAAATTATTCACGAACAACAAACTATTTTGACAGCCCTACATGTTCCCAATCCCAATACAAGCAAAATAATATATTTCAGAGATGATGACATCAAATAGGCCTCTTTTGTCCAAGAAAATATATAGAGGTCTCACCACTAAAAAATGTATCAAAATGCATAGCAATTTATGCACACTTTGCTATTTCACTTCATCTATGGGCAAACAAATATTTTGCAGGCATGAGGTCATTACAAGCTTAAATTTGTTCTAAAAATGAACTTGTGTACCAGCCATATTTTGCATGAAAACAATAGGAATAAGTTGTGCAAATATTAAAATTTCAAATTGCTCAAATAAAGTATTAATGCTGCAATGTAACCCAAATATTTATCCCTCCATAGATATTACAAAACAAAAGAGAAAATTATTACACAAAAATGGTAAGATCATTATATATATATATATATATCCTGAGCTCAAAAAAAATAAAAAATAAAAATAAAAATTGCAACTTTGCAAAATGATCCATAGCAATTTGTCAAATTTTAACGGCTCTCGGATTCATCTCCATTGCTAGCATCCACTTGAGAGCCTAATTTGATGATGTCTTCCACAAGAATTTTACCATCTGAAATAATTTTAAAAAATAAAAATATCAGAAATAAAGTTTGAAGGTTTGAATGAGCTTTGAAACTGAAATTAAACAAAAACAAGGGAAGATTTACATGCATAACACTCAGATCTTTGTATTTACATATCTAACCCCTAGACTTCAATAGTTAGACATATCATTTTAACTATGCATGAAAAGGAGCATCTCACTTTTTAAAAGTTAAGATATGGTATTTTAGATGTGTTGAAATATTGAGTTGTCGCAAAGTTTGCGTGTTAGATATGTAAATACATAATAATAATTGAGTGGTATGTATGAAAATGCCCCCTTAATAAAAATTATATCAAAATATACCATAAAAGTCTTATGTATTTACATATCCAACACCAAAACATTCATATTTACATATATATCAATGAAATCTTTTTCATACATAAGTTTATGACACCAAACTATTATAAGTGTGAATATCAGACTTTAAGTGTTAGATATGCAAATACAATAAGAATTGCATGGTATGTGTGTAAATAACCCTTTTATTGGTTTAAATATAAACAAATTCAGAAAGAGTTGGTTTCAGGACTGGAAATCATACCTCTGTCTTTTGAAAGATTGGTGATCAGCTCTTGCAGACCTTCTTTGTTTAACGTATCCTTCAAATACATGGCTGCAGCTGCTACTTCTTCCGGCGTCACTTTCCCGTCACGATCCCTGAGAAAAGCAAAAATTACACTTGAAACAATTATTACCAGAACATTACTAGAAGGCTATGATACACATCTTCGATAAGCTCATCCATAAACAGGTCGAGTGTTACATTTATAATTTTTTTGGGCATTTACATGCCACCAAATTCCGATATACTTACATATCTAACACCTAAACTTTACTTTTATACATTTATATCATCAAAATCATTCATATCATATCAAAAAATACCAGCACTTTTAACTTAAAAAGTAAAATAAACATATTAGACATTAAGTGTGCATATAAAGATCTTGAATACATGTCATCAAATAAAAGAGAAAATTGCTTCCATATTCACTAGTACGTTGCCTACTTTAGAATGCCTGGACTACTTTATTCTCTTGACTAAATCTGGGATACCAAAACCTAAATATATAACAAAAAAAATTTATTTTATTTTTTGCGCATGGAAAGTATATCATTTGGTGCAGTCCAAACTAATTGGGTTTGAGTAACCAAGGTTAAAAATTAATAAAAATTTTAATCTCACTCATGAGTCCACTGCTTTTTTCTTTCTCTCGTTTCCACAATCTCCCCTTGCTAGTGGCATTCTCCTCTCAGCAATCTGATAGGATTCTTGATAAAAATTAGGGCAAATAAATATTTTATTGCAAGAACATCAAATAACTCAACACGAACACATAAGCTAAGAACCTACAATTGGAGAGGTTGTAGGCGCTCTCCCAAACCGTAACCCTAACACTCAAGACCTAATCTCACGCATAATCCTAACCCTGAGCATATTAGCACTATTTATAATAAACAATAATAAATTACAAATGACTAACTTGCCCTTAATCTAATAAAGACAAAATTGCTCTTATGCGTCGTCACAACATTACTCACATCCCAAAAAGACACCATGTCCTCAAGGTAAAAAAAAAATGTTGTTGGATCATGTTGGATGGCTCCCACATGGCGTCATCATCTAGCAATCATTTCCATTTAATCAAAAACTTGTGGCGACCCTCATTGTCTTAAAATGACATCTTGTGCACATTCTTTGGTCGCATTCGAATCTGATGACATCCTGACTTCAAGTCAATCCTGGAGAATACCGTTACCCCAAACAACTCATCCAATTGCTTATTGATCCCGAAAATATATGCCAACTCTGTATCATGTCCCTTCCATGATATGCAACTTGATTAAGAATCTTTGCCTTACGTCCTGAATAGCTCTCATCGTAGTCTTCAACGTCACTAATGCCTTGCAAAAATTTGAGTGCCACCATTTTTTCTCCTCCTGAATACTATTACGTGTCCAAATCAGTTTCTTACAAACTCCTCCCCTCTTCTTCACATGTATCGTTCCCATCATTACTTCTGAATCGTCTTCCGGGCTATAATAAAAGACATTGACACACTTTGATGCAACCCTCCGTCGGGGTCCCACTCATCGTGATTCCGGTCACAGGCCAAAATTCTTCAATCCGATCTTCTCTAGCCCTGAATTGCACACAGTTCTCATCTGTCTACTATCGCTCGTCCCAAACCTCACGATATCACACAATTCCCTCCAAATGTTGTCGATTGAACTGTTCTCGATTCCTTCGTTCAATACCTCAACTCCCAAAATGGCTAAAGCAACGACGATGCCTTGATGTCGTCTGAATCATTCTGGTTGCTACTGCTCACATCCGTTCCCGACGCCGCCGCTCGATCCCATGACTGGCGGAGGCGATTTTGTGTGAAACTCCATAATCTTCTTCATCATTTCTTCCAGGGTCATGAATCTCTTATCAAATCGGTTTTCAGTGGAGGAAAATCTTTTCTCTTTCCCGAATTTAAGTTCACTCAACTCTTCCTCCAATTCCTTTTCCAAATCATTTATTTTCTTGGCTACTATTATTCCCCAAAAATATTTTGATCAAGAACTGTATGTCGTAATCAAGTTGGCTTCCTAGGTACCTTAAATCTTGACTATTTTGAGAGGTAATGAAGACGACATTGTGGGGCCTCAATCCCGTCTTTCCAGCTAGTCCGAATGAAACCAAATCTCGACTATATCACAATATTCTTGCCACTGTATGCAACAAGCCTGTTGTTTGCTTTCCAGATAGGTCAAAGTCATGTGGTTCGGTCCTAGGGCACGCCCAAGCCGGTGATTAGCTTCTAACCTCACTAAAATCGCAACCATTTTGCGTGGTCGGTGATCACAACGAGAAATTATCGTAACTGCATCGTGATCGGCTTCCCGAGTTGACCGCAATCATGTGTCCCGACAAGCTATTATCGCAACTAGATCAGGAGTTTCATGTTTTTGTACACCTCCATTCCCATGTGAACTTCTCTGCTAGTTTGAATCACAACTGTACCGCAATTGATCCTACTGATTTACCGTGACTGTCTCGTGATCAGCTTCCCGAGTCCGGAATAATCCCGTCACCCCTTGTATGTCGTTCTGGCTGTTAGGTTTTTATCCCGCTACTCACAATTAGGACTAGTTATGCCGCAATCCCTTCTTTGGTCTCCTAGATTGCTAAGATCGCAACTGTATCACGAGGCTACGTTACAAACGAAGGAAGTTGCAATCTCGTCGCTTATCTCCCAAAAATCTAATGCTCTAATACCATTTGATAAGATTATTGGCAGAAAATGACAAATAAATATTTTACCTCAAGAACATCAAACAACTCAACATGAATGCATAAGATAAGCACCTACAATTCCAAAGGTAGGAGATCTCTCCCAGATCCTACATTTCAAGAGATAGAAAATCTTTCCCAAACCCTAACCCTAAGACTCAAGACCTAATCACATATATAATTCCAACCCTAAAAATATTAGCCCTATTTATATACTAAACAATAATAAATGAATAACGACTAAATTTTCCTTAGGTTATTAAAGGCTAAAGGGGCGTTGTCTTAACACCATCTTTTAGGATTCAATCACTTTCCCTCCTTTTCTTCTAAGTTAGAATGTGAAACCTGCAAATATCATCTTGTCCCTCTTCCAAGCCTCAATATCATCTCGTAGTAATGCTTAATTTTTCTAGAATCCAAGTCGTCTTAACCCATATAAGGTTTTCTTATTTTGTCTCTTTTTATTTACAATCATTTGTGCTAAAAAAAAGGGAAATATGCATAATCAACTTGCCATATCCTTCAAACAAATGATGCGACAAAACATAAGCACCATCATCTCCTTGACGTTGCTGGTATCTTAACGTTTCACATGAGCATTCCAGCTCCAGTAGCCTACTACAAACTTATCATGTGCCCTCCGCTAGTAAAATGGAACTACTGCATTATCTCTTTTTTAATTAAAAAAAAAAAAAAAAGTTTCCCACCGATTCCTCATGTTTTTGAGCATTATCTCTTTTTTAATTAAAAAAAAAAAAAAAGTTTCCCACCGATTCCTCATGTTTTTGACAAATTTTAAATGTCCACTTTCTTTGTCCAATACATGAAAATATATCATCCTGGATTACACTTGAACTAAGAAAGATTATTGTTGTTATGATCCCTCCACCAATCATTTTTACATCTCCAAGGATATTACATTTCATGGAAGCATAACCTATTATCTTCTCAAATCTTCCATTGTAGAACCTCCAATTATTCCACTTTTGTCTATTGCCTCAACACCAACTATTGCTCCAATACTTGTTTATACTCGCTAGTTCCGACAACCTCCATCTATACACCTCCATCCATCTTGTTTTCTATGGCAAAACATACATATTAGCCATAGCACTCTCCACTCATTGTAATATTATACATCTCTTGATCTTGTATCCTGCTTATTTCTCCATATTGCCTCATATCTCTAATGTTTCTATTCCTAGGATGCATAAAAAAATAACACTGCTCAACACTAACTCAAAACATGCAATGGATATTGAAATAGAAATCCTCTTTGACAGCCAAACTTGGGATCTAGTTAGCCCTTGTGGTGTAAGGCCTATTCCATGCCAATACATTTTGAGGGTGCTATCGGCCGCTACAATGTCGGATTAGCAGCAATAAAATAATATTCAAAACCTTTTCTTGATAACTCAATTGAACCATATTCGCCTCTTATCATTGGAGAAGAATGAACATGAACAAATATTCAATCAATGGAAGGAAAGATTTAATATTCAAATGTTACACAATGGGTTCAATTATGATGATGTAAATACAATAACAAATAATCAAAATTATTTTAATGAAATGATATTTCTAATGATGAAGATAAACATATTATAATATATATACATATATGTGAGTGTGTATACATAAAAGATAACACACAAAGGAAAAAAATCCCCAAAAAAATTACATTATAGCAATTTCACTCCATTTCAATTTTTAAACAAACTAGCTCAATTGCTCTTCATTTAAGGGCTTAACAAGTCTTAACATATTGATCCGAGTTCCCCCTAAATTAGGCTTTTCATTAGAGCAAATCAATTTGAGGACCAATTCAAACCATCCACTTTGGTTTTCACTACCAAATATATGGTCATGAATTAAGGATGGCCATTATTCCAAATACACGCGAGCAATATTTTTACCTATCACAATTCTTCTTAAAGTGTTATAAAGAGCAACTTCCCGGTTATGCCGCAGCAATTATAAGCTTTGAAAAAATTACAAATGGGTTAAAACAATGTCCTGCTGTCTGGATTAATAATGAACTCTACAACATTCTTACCGATATTAGTCTTCAAAGTAGAACAATTGAAATTGTAATAATTAGTAACATATGTTCTTCAAAAGACAACTTTTTATTAAAAAATTGGGACATTGAAAATACTTTATCAACATCAAATTTGCATAGAGCACAGATGGTGTAAAAATTTCTTAAAAAATAAGGTCATATATCCAATTAAAGAGATCAGCTTCTTGAGTTAGCTTGATCGAGTTTGAGTATTTTAAGGATATTGATGGGTTCCAATTAAATGAAATAACAATCAATTAAAATATTTAACTTCATCAAATAAAGAAGTAAAAAGTTTGAGTGAATAAACCAGAATTTTAATATAGATTCATTGATATACACTAAGTGTCAATTTAGAAACATCATCAATCCTCATCTTTTCTTAATTATTTAGATGCCAGCTTTATGCAAAATTCTAGAGATGAGTATGAGTAAATGATTATTTTTGCATGAATATTGTACTAAAATAAAATCAAGCAAGGTTGCATCTATAGATATGCATGCATTCATGAGCATGCAAACTACCTTTTATTCGTCCTATTCCTATCCTAACTCTTTTCTTTCCCCATATCATGGATTACAATTTATATTAGAGGCATTTACATAAATACCACTCAATTCTTATGTATTTACATATCTAACACCTAATTTTTGTTTTTTTTATTTATACAGCCCAAACATTTCAAATCACATAAAAAATACCAACATTTTAAGTTTTAAAAGGTGAAATGCAACTTTTCATGCTTAGGGAAGGTGGTATGTACATAAAAATTGAAGTTTAGGTATTAGTTTTGTAAATACATAGGGATTGAGTGGTATATACGTAAATCTTCCTTTATATTATCAAACATTCAGAAAGTAAATCTAAACTAAATCAGAAATCTTGAATAACCTGTCAAGTAGAATCCAGCGATCTCCAATTTTGGCATCAACATCATCAATTTCCATTTCAAGCTTTTGAAGCATAGCATCAACCTGCAAATTTTGAAAGCAAAAGGCAAGGGATTATAATTAGAGAATATCAGCACAATAATAGGAAATTTAAACCCCAACTAAAAGCTCAACAAATATTAAAAAAAATAACAATAAAGAAGGGGGTAAAAGTATGGTTAGGTGGAAGGGATTCAAGGATGTAATAAAAAAGCGGTAAATTTACATACATACCGCACTGTGTACATATCTAACGCCTAAACTTTTATATTTACATTTATAGCATTTTGGTGTCATAAACCTATGCATGAAAAGAAGTATTTCACTTTTAAAAAGTAAGTAAAAGTGGTATTTTTTATCTTATAATAAAGATTTGAGTGATATGGATGTAAAGTGAAATTTTAGGTGTTGAATATATAAATAAAGAAGAATTGTGTGGTATGTACGTAAATGCCCCTAAAAAATTTAATTATAACTAGCTAAGTAATGCTTATGGTAATGCCAATAATTTCTATTAAGATAAAGTACAGCTTGCCAGGGTGAGACCCTAGCAGATGAAGTAATGAGAGAACATTGCTTTCTTGTGGGTCTTGATGACTCTACATATAACTTTATTAATTTTTTTAGAGGCATGTGCATACATACCACCCAATTCCTATATATTTACGTAACTAATGCCTAAATTTTATGTTTTACATTGATACCACACAAATCTTTCAAATAACATAAAAAATATTACTATTTTAACTTTTAAAAAGTGAAATACATCTGATCAAGCATAGGTAAGGTGGAAAATATGTAAAAATTGAAGTTTAGGTGCTAAATATGTAAATATACAGGAATTGAGTGGTACACATGTCAAATATGAGGTGATGATGAACATAAAATCACAAAAAAAGGAAATATGGGCAACTAAGTGTGTGTTTGTTACCCTGTTGATAAGCGCAGATGAAATCTTGTCCCCCGCGGCAATTTCAGCTGCTTGATCACTTTTTTCCCTGGCAGCTTTGTACGCTTTCTTAGCCTCTTCTTCGCCCTCTGTTCCCTCTTTGTCAAGCAGTGTATTGTATAATTCAATCTGTAACATCAAAAGTCCATATTTCAAATTTATAAAATAGTCCTCGGACGATGTTTAGTTTGTGCACTGGCTGTCACTCAAGTTTCCATTTTTCCTCCTAACAAAGTAAAGCCATAAAAGTATCTGCAACTAGCCGACTCATGAGTTGGCTCGGGCTCATCTTGATAAGCGGCTCATGAGCTGAGCACGATGAGCTAACAAGCCAAGCTTAGGCTAGCTTACACTTGACTTGATAGCTCGTCACTCGTGAACCAGCTCGTTGAAAAAATATTAATATAAAATATACTCAAAATATATTAAAATTCAAGATTTTACTTTTAAATTATTAAAAATATATTTCATTTTATATGAAATGATTTCTTATTATTTATATCATAATTGCTTATTCTTTTATCATTTAAATATACCATTAGTTTGAATTAATATTATTTTCTCTTTCATAATAACAAGTTGGCTCAAACTCGAAGAATGAAGCTCGAGCTCGAGCTCGACTTGACTCTTTTACACCCATAGCTGAGCAATAGCCATGCTAATACTACAAAATTTTAATATACCTCTTTATTAACAAGGCGCAGGAATTCTTGACGCTCGCTACTGACGGACTGCAAGGGTCGTAAAACAGTAAATTGTTAACCATTTAATTAGTGAAAATCGAGTAAAGCCATCATTGAAAAACTCAAGTAGATCTAATGTGAGCAGGCCGACATACTGAGGCCGAAGCAAGGAGAGCCAAAGCGCGGCTGATATTGCACAGCTGCTCCCTTTTCTCCATTGTTTTCTCTTCGGCCAGCTCCCGTGCTTCACGTAAGGTAGGACCAGTCATCTCCCTTAAAGCCACATCTTCGTCATGGATCACAGCTTCCTCCTTTTTAGCTTTCTCCTCTTTCTCTTTTAGTTTCTCTTCCTCCTGAAAGGAAAAAATACATAATGCTTTGTGAGATTGTCAAACGCATATAAATTATGATGAGAAACATAGCTTTTCCATGAAGACAAACAAACTAAAAAAAGGAGCATGCAAGTCAATCAACATTTCAAAAAAGGAATGATTTTCTAGCAATATTACAACCTATAATATATTTGAAGGAAAATTCAGATTCATAAACTTTCATACTCGTTCAAGTGATATAATATATGTTAAACACTTGTTGAGGCTTCGTGATATCCCAAAAAAGAACAAATAGTAAGATTTTTTTTTTCTTTGAAAAAAAAGGTTACAAATAAAATTAAATAAGAGCCAAAGCCTTCTGGAGTTTCATATTGGAGAAAATTCATCCATATAAATTAAACTTACTAGTAAATTACTGAAACAAAGTTGCAGTCCAGAAATACCATTTATAGAGTTCCCCAAGGTGATGCGCATTTAGTTAAATGTAACAAATTTCCTCAGAATAAAGAAAGTATGTCTAGAAATTTTCAAAATATCTTAATAGATGCAACTTGTTAGAAAATTTCACTAAGAATGATAACAGCTTTATAAGTAAAAAACAGCTTTATAAGCTTTAGGTGTGCACCTTGATAAGCTCTTCTTGCATTTCAAGGAACTCCAACTTCCGCCTCCTCTCCGAGACAGAATCCTCATATGGCAGCACTGTACCGACAGTGTCTACAACTTCATCGGGTAGAGATGACAGTGTAGCCACAACAGCTTCCTCGGGTTTCAGCTTTCCGGATACAGTGAAAGCTCTAGAACATGAGACAGTCAGAATCAGAAACTCAACTCTAAGCTGAACTAACAACACAGTGAGCCAGCCTCAGAGTATTTATATAAACTCTGAATTCAATCAGATTACCTCGAGAGTATAAGGAGAGACGAAGGTACCGAATGATTAAGAGACAAATCCAACCAATCCCGCAGCTGAATTCAAACATTGAAAGTAGTAAGCATATTATCCTCATTCTTTTATATCAATTGGTAGGTATAATGATAAACGACAAAAAAAAGAGAAATTTACATCAATACCAGACAATTCTTGTGTATTTACGTATCTAACACCTAAACTGTCACATTTACATTTATAACACCAAAACTGTCAATTTTAAAAAGTATCCAATAGTGATATTTTTTATGTAATGTAAAAAATTTGTGTGATATTAAGGTAAATATAAAAGTTTAGGTGTTAGATATGTAAATACATAGAACTGTATGATATGTATGTAAATGCTCTCCAAAACAAGGGAAATATACATTAAGGAAAAATACATGATTCTCATGGATTTACTTATCCAACACCTAAAGTTTGATATTTACTTTTATAACACCATGGTCCTATAAATAATCAGCACATTACTTCAAAGGAAGCACATTTCCAAAACAATCTATAACTTTTTCTTATAACATCACCAAATACTCATCGTAGTAAACATATGGTTTCTAAGGATGAGATTCGGTACAAAAAATTTCATCTTTGACGTCAATTCAAGACCTGAAACCATACTATAAGCATCAAGTATCCGTCCAATGATGAATATTCGACATACCTGTTGGCGCATCTCCTCTTTGGAAAGCAGCCCAAGATGGCCACGTTCACGACAGGCTTGACGAAGCTCGTCCTCTGAAAGAGACTCCACACCTTCTGCCTGAATCAATTTATCATCTTCCTTTATCCTGCATAAAAATGAAGGTCAATAAACTGCTCTAAATTTTGTGCCAATTTTCATAACTATGGTTCTAAAATTTCTAAAAATTCATCATAACTGAATTCACCAGGTTACATCCACAACCAAAATGATAAATTGCTATAAGCAACCATTCAACTTTACAATTCCAAATGACAGAAATTTGAGGTTATTTTCTGCTTTTGTACATTGCTTTCTCGTTATTTACCTCACATCTCCAATCTTTTCCAATATAGGGAGTAAGGCTATTGGAAGTAAAGGAATCCAAGAAAAAGTGAATAATAGACTAAACTTGCATAGCACACAACTATTATGTGTTTAATACCTAAACTTGCATATTTACCCACATAGCACTCAAATCTTTAATATCAAATAAAAAATAGTGTTATTACCACTTTTTAAAAGTACAATACATCTTTTTATTCATAGGTTTAAAGTGCCAAAGTCTTGTGTATGTTTAGGTGTGAGATATGTAAATATACATACGAATTGTGTGCTACGTATGTAAAATTTCCCAAACATTTATAAAAGAGGATAGAAAAATATCACGGTAGAATAGCAAGGAGCATGCCATGGTTAAGGTAACCTAAACCAACCAACATTGGTGGATTTTAGGTAGTTCATTTAGTTAGTCGTAAATAATAGTTTTGCATTGTTGAGCACTTTACCTTTTCCTATTTTTTTATTAAAGGCATTTACATACATATCACACAATTCTTATGTATTTACATTTCTAACACTAACACCTTCTAACACCTAAACATTCATATTTACATGCAAACCACTCAAATCTTTCACATCAGATCAAAAATACCACTGCCTCTGTCTTTTTAAAAGTGAAATACACTTTTTCAAGCATATGTTTAGGACACCAATGTGTTCTAAATTTAAATATCAAACTTGGGGTGTTAGATATGTAAAAGCAAGAGAATTGCGTGGCAAGTATGTAAATTTCCCTTTTATTAATTTTGAATGCTTTTTTTATGCAAATATAGCAACAAAGGAAAAGAAAAACATATGGATAACTTCAAGAATTTGCATATATCACCAAGTAAATTGCTTACCCAATTCCATTTTCCAAAAGTATTTGTATTTTAGCCTTCTATGAAGATGAAAACTTCATATTTAAGAAAATAAATGCTGAGATAAAAATTTGCAGAGGAAAAACTTCAATATTAAAACTTCATAAGCATCAATCCTTTTGAAGTAAATTTGTCATAAACTAACAAAAGAACACAACTTAGAAGATGGAAAATCTTTTAGAGAATCTCAGCTTAGAAAAAAATTTATGCAATGTAATGGACCAATTAAAAACTTTCAGCATTATACTAAATGGACAGATGCTTAAAAGTCATAAATTAACTGAAAATCCAAAAATTTAGATAATTTCTTAAATTACTAAGGTTCCGCAAATCAGTTGTTCAAACGTTAAGTTAAACATGGATCTTAAAGTCAGAAATGTTTAAGTGAAACATGCATATGTACCACACAATTCTTATAAATTTACATATCTAACACCCAAATTTTGATATTTAAATTTATGACACCTTGGTCTCATAAACCTATGCAAGAAAGCAGTATTTCACTTACAAAAAAAATAGTGATAATGGTATTTTTTTATGTGATGTTAAAGATTTCAGTAGTATTTGTGTAAATATGAATGTTTAGGTGTTAGAAATGTAAATACATATGAATCAAGTGGTATGTATGTAGGTATGTATGTAAATGCCTCGAAGTTTAAACATAGGAAAACTACCGCATTGCAAAAGTTCAACACCAGCAATACAACATTTCCCACTTCAAAAAATACAAAAGACCTATGGTAAATAATATCAAAAGGAAACAACTTTAAAGCATAATTTCAAAAAACACCAAAATAAAGAAGGGGGAATGAGGGGAAGCAGACAAGCATAATTAGTCTTACTGTTGCAGCTTTTTCCGAAGCATAAATCGTAAATATTTGTCTGTCCCAATAGTTGTGATGCCCATGTATTTACACATATTAATCAGCCTCGGCCTGTATGCAATAAGTAAAATTACATTCAATAATATATGGTTAACTTAGAAGCCGTGAATAATGAAGAAACAAACACAAATTCAACCTGCTAATATTATCCAGAGTTAGCTCATCATTGAAAAGTTTCGCAAAATTCAAAATTTCCTCATTGGAAACACGAGCGCCGGTTCTGACCTAAATCAATATAGGATATCAGATAATAATATAATTCCCTGATTTTTCAAGAATCAATACATAAACCCATAAAGAATCATATTAAGATTGATGGTGACTTTGTTCAAAAATTCATCGAGATCTTCTGCGGTCTGTTTTACTTCTCCGCTACGTGTTCTTTGCACCTCATTAGCCATTTCTTTGACGGTGCCTTGCAAGAATTTCGCATACGCTATTCGAGCATTAAGGTTCCGTTTAAGAGCTTCCTGCAAATAAGTATAAGATGATAAAAATAAGAAACGCCTTCAAATGGTGATCATATATCAAATAATACTTAGCCTCAAGAAAACACATACATACGAACAATTATTTTGGGAAAACAACTCAAACGAGAAAAATGTACACTTTCAACTCACAAGCTCATAGAATTTAGCTAAAATGCAGGTTACTCAAAAGACTAAGAGGCCGTTTGGGAACACTTTTCTTTTTTATTTCTCTTTTTTTTGTTTTTATTTTGTTTTATTTATGTTTTAATTTAAAACAAAACGTGTTTGACATATTTATTTAATGTATAGTTGTTTTCAAAAACACTCAAAATATTTAAAAGCCTTTTTTGAGTGTTTTCAAAAATATGTTAATTTGTTTTTAGAAATAAAAAATAAAAATATGTAAAAAACACTCAACAAACATGTTCTTAAAAATAAATGAAAAAAAAAATGATCCCAAACAAGCCATAAGGGGCCATTTGGGATCAGTTTTGTTCTTTATTTTCTATTTTTCTTTTACTTCGTGTATTTTTTTATTTGAAACAAAACATATTTGACATATTTAATTAAGGTATAATTGCTTTTAAGAATAGCCAAAATATTTGTTTTGAGTATTTTCAAAAATATTTTTATTTATTTTTAGAAATAAAAAATAAAAATATGTAAAAACACATTAAGAAACACCTTTTTAAAAACAAAAACAAAAGAGATTCAAAACAAGCCCTAAACAAATAGAAAGATTTATAAAAAAAATTGTAAATTGCATTCAAAAGTATTACCTGTTCCTTCATCTTATCCTGAAAAGTAGATGGAAGCATGTTTGGAAACAGCTTCAAGAACACGGGCAATAAAAATTCCATGAATGGAACTACTATAAAAACTGCAAAAGGAACCAGCCTGAAGATATCTGCAGTAGTGCGAGTCAATTGTTTTCGCTCCCTTCTACTAAGGCTCTTTCCCCCCGCAAGTTTCAACAATAATCTCGAAGAAATTCTAATGTCCGCCCACAGTAACTTACAGCCGAGCCAATAGTGCTGCATCGTAGAAACAAATTCATCCTTCCAATGGCGAAACTTTACGGCCCAATCCTCCCTGTTGCAAGGAATTTTGTCACACAAATCAGCCGTAAAAATGTAATTTCTACATTGTTCCTACAATTAACAAATGCGAAGTGAAAAAGTTTGCACCTGCTCATGGAAGCGACAGCTCGTAAAGCAGGACCGATCCCTAATAGCTTAGCCCAAAACTTACGAATAAATTGATAATCTTTCTGGGTTTCTTGCAGCTGCTTAGCTTTTGCTTTAGCTTTTGCTGTGCTCAAGCCTTCAACAGCCTGATCACACTCCTCTGGTGATGCCTCTTTGTTCTGTTTTTTCTCCTGATCTTCGCCATGTTCTTCTCCGCTAATTTCAGGCTGCTTAGCAGTAGCTGTTGATGCGTTGCGGACATACTGCGACAACCCTCGTGCCCCAAATGGGATAATGATTTCTGATCTTCCAAATTCACTATTCGGCACAGAAATCCCACGAAGATGGCCTCTCAGAAAAGTTGCAGAGGATGAACCAAAGAGTTCTTTTTTGGCATGAATAAATGTCCTATGATCAAGGAGCTTATTCTCTGAATTATAAGCGAATGAACCATGCTGAGAACTTAAAATACTAAAACTAGAAAGAATGGGTTCGTTCAGTTTCTGCAAAAGGTGCTTTCTTCCTCTGTAGATTGCTCTGCCAGCCATTAATGGTTTTTGGTTGCTTCCAAAGACGGACAACTATGGTCATATCTTTCCGGGAGTAATCCCTAAATCAATCAAGCGATCATATTCAGGAAAAAGAAATGAGAAGAGGAAGTTGATTACATTTCAAACTGATTAAAAGAAAGTTTTTCATCTAAATATTACACCAAATTTTATACCTTAGCTATCAACAATTTCACCCCATAAACTCTCATTTCCTCGATACAAAAACTCAAAATTAACATCTCTAAAGAAGCATAAACAAGGAAGGAAACTATTGAATTTGGACCAATTAAGAGGCTGTTTGAGGCAAGATTTAAGCAAGATTTAGCTTAAATCCTAACAAAGAGAATTATAAAAATTAATCAATTTCATTCAATTCGTTCTTGCTTGAATCCAAAGATTATAAACACATTGCAGCATTTACAATCATCAGAAAATTAGACCCCAATCATGCAAAGCAAGCTGAAATCCAAAACCTTACCGGTAGAACGCCGTCACCTTAAGCCGGCTGAACTGAACTAAGGATTCGATTCTCCCATCAATCCTCGACACAAGACCGCTACAATCCCAAAAATCGAGCTGGAATGATTCAATTCAAGCTACTTAATCCCGCTACCGCTTCACCAACCGATCGGGAAACAAAATTTATTGAGAAAAAAAGAGTTCTTGCACCAAGCATTCGAGCAGAATTTAACCTAAATCAGCAAAAAAATGACAGCCTACACTTAAATTCCGTTTCTACGCCGTATTACCTTGAATCTAGGGTTTATCGAATCCATCCATTGGAAGCTTTTAGCTTAAATCCTCAAGTCCCTCAAAGTGCTCTCTTCTTCACACGCCGCCGCTCTCCTCGTTGCTTCTTCCAGCAAGCTCCGCTCCGTCGCAACTTCCTCGCCCGGTCGTCGATATATATATATTTATAATTATTATAATAATTTAATAGTATTAGAAAATTTTCTTTGTATTTTTTAATTATATTTATAAATTAGAAATTCATAATTAATTATGAAATTAATTAAAGCAAATTATCATTAATATAAATATTTATTAAAATTATTAACATTCAAACAAATCATAACACTTAAATTTTTAAAAATATAATTATTATTAATTTTTTAAAATAAATGCACATATTTTCATAAATTCATGGCAAGTGTTATAAATATAAATATGAAATTTTTTATGTCGGATATATAAAAACGTAAAAATTGTGTTATATGCATGTAAATTTTTCCTAATAATTAATAGCAATTAATTAAAAATGTGTTGCTTGAAGTAAATTTTTATAAATTTTATTAATTTATCCTAAAAAAATTAAGCAAAATATTGGCAAAATTAAAGTAAATTGTATGTATTTAAATATCTAAATGTCTCAAGAAAATATGCATTTCACCTTGAAAAAATATGATAATAATTTTATTTTGTTGTGATATTAAATAATTAATTTTTATTAATAAATAGGTAAGAATTGTGAGGTGTGCATATAAATGCCCAATAGCTTAGAACTTTCCTATTAGTAATTAATGAAATGTATGCATTTTAATTGTGTTTTAATTAACCTCATTAAATAAGCATCATAATTAGATAATATTTAATATTTTGAAAATTATAGTTAAATATTAACTTAATGCCCAAAAAATTTCATTAAAATTTGTAATTTTTTATTGTGAATAAAACAACATCTATATTGATCTTTATATGAATTATTTATTTAGATCATTTGATTAATTATTTTAATAGATTATAATTTGATTTTTTTTTTATTTGATCAATTTTATTAAGGCAAAAACACCAATCAATGAAAAAAATTAAATTAATACCAATAAATGAACTAATGTTTTCATTGTTGAATCATGATCTCCTTATGTATCTCATTTATGAGAAAATATTTAGTTCGGATGTAGCGCGTCTGGGCGATCAACCACCGGCCGCCAGGTCTTATACAACTCATCGGTGGATGATGTGACGGCAGGTGGTTGACCATTCGGACGGAATATTTTTTCCTCTTTTAGGCATAAGAGAGAAAAGAGAGAAAATGAGGATACGTAGGGTAATTATTTTCTATCACTTTGAGGGAGAATATGAAGAAGAATATACTTCTACTAACATTCTGTTGAAAGATCTCGAAACTGATGATTATATTACATATTTTTTATAACTCTATATTTATAGGGTTATAAATTATATAAGAGATTTTGAGAATCTCTATTTATTTCTCGTCTTAATTAGAGAGATTAGTTGCCTCTTATATTTTGTTATTTTTTATTTCCTTTTCCACTTTATTCTGTTTGTATTGTTTTCCTTACCAGTAAGTCTTATAATAGGTATTTATATCCCTCTTTGCATCAATAAAATCAAGTATTTCGCATTATTCTAAATTTCAACATGGTATCAGAGCCTAATTTTGTACTCTAGCCACTAGTTTTCCTTTGAGAATTGTCGGACTCCCTTCCTGTCATCCTTTGTGTAGGAAGGGAGGGGCACTCTTTTTCTCTCACTCTAACTCTGCCACTCCCTGGAATCTACTTCTTTCACTCGCTCTGTTGCTCTGTTTTTAGTCCTCTTCCCTCGCTCCAAGTTGCGCAGTGGATCAGCCTCGACACAAGAATCAAGGAACCCTTCAATGGCGGAAGAAGCCCACGCCCCCCTCACCGACTCCGGGAATCTCCAGTCAACAAGAGATTGGGAGGTTACTTGCTCAAAATAGTTCACAAAGTACTGGTCCAGAGGCTTCTTAGGCCTCCTCTTTGGTTCATCCATTAACTACTCTTCTCGCAATGGCTTTCACGGGTTTCTTCTCGGGTGCCGCTAGCAGAATCCCTGGACTCCTCCGCCTTCAGCAATTATCGCCACGAGCTGGCTCCCTCGCCGTCCCAGCAGCCCCCTGACCAGCCGTTTTCAACGGCGACGGCGGAAACTTCATTTGTGGAAGACAACTCCGCCCATTTCTCTTACAAGGGGTAACTCTATCTCTTCATCCGACAATCCCTAGAAAATATAAGATCCTCCCGCCAATCTCTGCCGCAGCATCGTCGTCTACCGCCGTCTCCGACGGAAGAAAGCGATTCTGCGGGGCAAGCGCCGGTGCCCTTAACCGTCAGGTACCACCATCAAGTATTAGGCTCTCATCACGGGGTACTTCTTCTTCATGTGGTATTTTCTGAATGTGATCTTCAACATTCTGAACAAGAAGATCTATAATTACTTCCCGTATTCGTACTTTGTCTCTGTCAAACATCTATTTGTCAGAGTGGTGTACTGTCTGGTGAGCTTGATAGTTGGGCTTCTTAAACGCGCTCCCATCGATTCCAATATTTTGAAATTGCTTATCCCAGTTGGGGTTTGCCACACTATTGGTAATGTCACAAGCAATGTTTCATTTGATGTCGTTGCAGTCTCCTTCACCCACACAATCAAAGCTTTGAAACCTTCCTTTAATGCGGCAGCCTCACAATTCATTCTTGACCAACAGATTCCCTTAACATTGTGGTTTTCACTGACACCAGTTGTGTTTAATGTCTCTATGGCCTCTTTAACTGAGTTGTCATTCAACTGGACTGGCTTTATTAGTGTTATGATTTCTAATATCTCCTTCACCTATAGAAGCATTTATTCAAAGAAAGCAATGACTGATATGGACAACACAAATTTATATGCTTACATTTCAATCATTACACTGATTGTTTACATTACTCCTGCAATAATCTTTGAAGGACCTCCGTTGCTTCAACATGGCTTCAAAGCAAAAGTCGGTTTAAATAAGTTCATCACAAATCTATTCTGAGTAGGCATGTTTTATCACCTCGATCGACCAAGAGAGTAAGTTGATGGAGAAGCATAATGTAGGGGATTCATATGTCCATATGCCTCCTTGCATGCAATCTATTAACCAAACTGAAGAAGGAAATGTGGACAAACATGGAAGTTCTGGTGGCAAACTTCTCCTTTCTGCCAGCCAAATCCGTAAACCACCAGCTGGATCCTTCTTCTGCAATTTCTAACGGACTTCCCTACAATTTCAGCAAGATCCACCTACTGTTATTTCTTACCCAGATCCTTCTATTGGCCCTTCATCCTTCTATTGGCCTCTTCAATACCTAATGCAGGGTTTCCTTCCTCCTAAAATTCCCAGTAGGATCTCCTTCCTGCTATATCTTCCTGCAGTCCGCCCTGCTAGATCTCCTTGCCAAATCTTTACTTTCCTGCAACAAAAACTCATTATGTGGTTGTAGGGGCTCTCCGGATTTCCTTCCAGGAAACCGCTCTCCTTGGAATCTTGAACCTCCCTACTGCAGGCCCTCTTCTGCCTGCATCCTCTCCTTATAGTAGCAACAGCAGAATCTCCTCGTGATCCCATAAGTAACAAGCTGTAGCAAGCAAAGACTAATCCTCTTTAAGTTCTTCAGGCCCTCTTCCTGATCTCTTCCTCTTGTCCGGATCTTTTTCTGTTGCAGGCTCTGAATCGATTCTCTGCCCACATCCTTTTTGGCTAATCTGTAGGCCCTCCTCTGAAGCTCCTCATGATCTTCCGAGCCCCAGACTTCTCCCTGCATGAGCTCCTTTGTTCAAATTCTGTTGCTTGAATCTTCTTAGCAACAAACCTTCCTCTACCTGAAATTATTCCCTGCTGACATCCGGACCTATCCTTTGATAGCTTTTCCTGCCACTGGAACTCCCTCATGCGGCCTTTTCTTCCTCTAGAATTTCCTGCGGCCTTTCCTGCCGCCAGAACTTCTTGCGGACATATCTGCAGCCGACTGGACCTCCCGTCTGTCTTACTCCTGCAGCCGGTTCTCTCCCTTGCAGCCTTTTCTGCTGTCGGATCTACCTCAACAAAATTTTCCCTGTAGATTTTGGCCAGCTCTTCCCAAGGAAAGCACTGCTCTTTTCTTCAGCATTATTGCAGCCTTCTCCAAGCACTACAGCTTTCATGAGCATTGTCGTTGACCCTCTGCAGCTTTCCTGCAACCTCTCTGCAGTCTTGTTACAGCTTTCTAGCATCTCTCCTGCAGCATTATTGTAGTCTTCTTGTTGCTTTCATGCAATTATCAGTCAACCGATGACTTACAAATTCATCAATGTCTCAAAATTGAGCTTAGCTCTCGTCTAGGTCACTCTCAGGCTTCGACACTCTCAGGCTTTGACACTCTCAGACTTCGGCATTATCGGCTTCGGAGCTCTCAGGCTTTGACGCTCTCAGGCGTCAGCACTCTCAGGCTTCGACACTCTTGGACTTCGACATTCTCTACTTTGAGACTTTCGGCTTCGACACTTACGACTTGAGGATTGTTGGAGTTTTTTGGCAAATCGATGCTACTTATTCAGTCAGCATACCACAACCTCAAATTTATTGCAGAAGATAAAATTTTCTTCAACCATGTTCAACTTGAGGGGGAGTGTTGAAAGATCTCGAAACTGATGATTATATTTCGTATTTGTTATAACTCTATATTTATATGGTTATAAATTATATGAGAGATATTGGGAATCTCAATTTATTTCTCTCCTTAATTAGAGAGATTAGCTACCTCTTATATTTTGTTATTATTCATTTTCTTTTCCACTGCATTCTATTTTTATTGCTTTCCTTACTAGTAAGTCTTGTAATGTGTATTTATACCTCTCTTTGCATCAATAAAATCAAGTATTCTGCATTATTCTAAATTTCAACACATTCTAAAAACAAAATACAAAAAATCATATCAGAATTATTAAACATGTGTAATATGGGGAGCTCTAAAGGCTTCAGTTTTGCTTTCAGATGAGAACAATATCATACTTATTTTAAAATTGATTTATAACTGTTATGTGCCATCACCATCACTTTTCAAATTCGGCAATTTGTGTCACAAAACTAAAAAAATCCACTTTTTCTAAATCAGACCGACCCGAGTGCCCTGCTCCCTGTCTCATCCGAGAAAATATTACACGCAAGCTATGTCCAGACAACGGACGCGATGCATATGGAGTTTGATTTTTTTTCCCTCCGCTTCCTTCGTGCATGGCTTTTTTTAGTCTCATCATGCATTAAATCCCAAACCGATCACATGGTCGGGAGAGGGAGCAGGCAGCTACAACATAGAAAGCGGAAATGATTGTGATCCTTAAAAAGAACGAGAGAGCGATTAGGGCATTCAAGGGGTTTACTTGTGTAACTAAGGGAAGAGGTAGAAGTCGTCATGGGAGAAACAACCTGACAAAATTGTGAGCTGCGAAGAAGCAACCAAATGGAGGGAGGCGAGGGACATCGTCGGCTTTCCTGGATGTACTACTTGCATCCTTACAACCTAAGATGAAAAGGCTCACGTTTTAGAACTTGCCAGCACCTATCGTCTTGATATCTTCACAAAGTCGTTAAAGATAAAGCAAAGCAAGAGATCATGGGAGAGAACATGGATATGTTTTGATGTGAAACAAATTTGTGATGTTTAGTTTTGCAAATATCATATTTTAGTTCTTTATGATGATGATTTTACACTTGTGAAAGGTATTTTTGTTATGGTTTACATGATATAGATGTTGAGCGTGCTCTGGAGAGTTACAAATGTGCCCGCGCCAAGGAGAGGCATGCCCACGCCCCTGCGTGGATAGGCAACATGCCTACGCCGTCTCACAAAGCGTCTGACATGCCCTCATCACAACCCAACATGCTTGTATCGGTCCTCCGTGCACGATGTGGCATATGAAAAACTCTTGATTGTGATGATAATATTATTGAAATAAAATATATGTTAAATTAAATAATGACTAAATTTTTAAGTCATACTCCCTGTTAGGTTTTGTGAATTTCTTCCTAGGCTCAATGAGCAGGGTTTCACAATTTCGATACCAAAATTTTTGTGAGTGAGCAAAGATCAATGAATTGAGTTTCTTTGAATTTGAATATGTTGATAATTGATTTACTTACTCAATTATTATTGTGTTGAATTAAAAATTATCTTTGAATCACATCGAAGGAATAGAGCATAAAATATGAGAAAAATATGCACAGTAATAAACAATAATTTGAATTGTTGATTAGCCTTTTCTAAGTTAATGAGCCCCCAATTTAAAGAAAAAAGGGGTAGAATATATGGACTTATATATTTGCTTTTCTTTTAATGGGGGCGTTATAAGATATTTTAATTATATATCTAAGCCTTCGGTTCGACCACCCCATGACTCGGTTGGCTAGAGTTAGTTGGCTCTGGGTTAGCAATGCTTGCTTAAATCAAGGTTGTTGATCATCCCAAAGACGGTGAGACCTGACTCACTCGGCTTGTCTTTATCGATTGGCTATGCTAATCTAGTTCTTGATTGTTGATCTATAGGTAAGGAACTCTTGTCGATAGAGCAAGGTTAGGTTTTCAAACAGAGGGAGAGTGAATCACTGTAATTCGACAAGTAGCTTCATCTTTGATGAGGCTATCCTTCGAGGATAGTCCATGTAGTTGCATGATGTCTAGTATTTGGCACTGGACAACAAATCTCAGGGTCATTTGTAAGATAGTTGGGGATGTTGTATTCTTATTTCGACTCAAGTTTTGGCGAGAGGCACATATATGCATCTATTCAGATGGTCTTTGCTCGGTCGGCCTTCAACCGTGGCTTAGGGGGGCTGCACTTAGTCCGACAAGCCTTTTAGTATTCTGCTAAGGAACGCTTAGTCTTATGATGATGAACCCTCAATCTTATGCTGATTACATTCAGTCTATAGCCTTGATCTTTCATCTATGGGTCCTTGTATTCCATCTATGTGCCCTTCTTTGTTGTACTCCTCAGTACTCTTATCTATTAAATTTCCTCGAAATCCACGCAAACATGTTTCTGATAAACATATAAAAAGACAGATTTGTGTGAATTTTTAAGTGGATCATCATATTTGATTTTTTTTTTTTCTACATTTGTATTACCATTGCAACTGTTTCTTTTGGATAGTGGAATTGGTCATACCCTCAACATTTTGTTATATTAGTTTTTATTCAAATTCTAAATGAAAATGAAACCGATCACAATCCCTCAAGGCATAAATGAGCTATGAGGATCTTAGAAAACAAAAATCTAGGTGGAAGATTTATATGCATACACTCAATTCTTATGTATTTACATACACAACACCCAAACTTCAAATTTTACGCACATGTCACCTTATTTATTCATGAAAAATGTGTGTTTCATTTTTTAAAAGTTAAATAATATAATATTTTTATATGATATGAAATATTTAGGTGGTACAACTATAAGAAGTAAAGTTTAGGTGTGTTGAGTGTTGGAGAATTCATGGTAGTAGGATGACATATTAAAGTCCTGGTGTTATACAAAGATCTAACACACTCATATAAAAGAAAAAAAATTGACGGAGATAACAACATAATCTTTACATGAAAAACTCAAAAGGGTGAAAATCATGAGGTCTAGCCAAATTGAAATAATTTTACTATGTCAATCTAGATTACAAGATTTTTCCAGTCATAGAAGAGTGGTGAAATAAGTTGGGAAGTGGGGGCGGCTTGTGTGCTAGAAAATTTGATGCTAGTGTCATTGATAATGGAGGCATAGTGGTTTTGGCTTGAAGACGATGGTTGGGTAGTGATGGTTCGGTTGTGGTTACAGCCAGATGATAGTTGTCTTGTGGCATCGACGGCGGTGGTTGGGTAACAATGATCCAAAGATTGTGGTGACTTGATAGCGATGATATGACGATGACAATGGCGGTGGCCAAGTAATGGTGGCAATAGTGGTGGCCAGCAATGCTTGTTTGGTGATGGTGAACGCCAGAAGGCGGTGGTGCGGTTGCGGCGATGGCGATGGTCAAGCAACGGTGGTATGGTGATGGTGGTAGTTCGATAAAGGTGGTATAACAACGACGACAGAAGTGGTTGGGCAGCGTTGATCTGATAAAGACAATGGTCCAACAATGATGATGATGGTGGTGGTCGAACAACCATAATTTAACAACAATGAATGTGGTCAGATGGTGATGAAGGTGGTCTGGCAGTGACAACAATGATGACCACACAACCATTGGGGGTCCAACACTAACGATAGTAGTCAGGCGACAACAACAATGATCGACGAGCAGTGAGGTTCAGCGGTGGCCATGACCAGATGACAATGGTCCGACGACAGTGGCAACAACCAGACGGAATTGGTGACGACCAAACTGCAGTGGCAACGACCAGACAATGATGATAGTGGTGGCTGGACGATGACAGTTATAACAATGACTAAAATTAGATTGCAATGGTGTGACATTGACGGTGGCGATGACTCAATGACGATAGTAGCTATAGCGACCAATCAACAATGGTTTGGCGACGTTAGATGATGGCTTGAAGTTAGTGATAGCAACAACGGTCGGGCAACAGTGATCTAACAACACCAGGGGCTTAACGACGACGATGGGGAGAGGAAATCCTCAAGAGCTTGGAGCTTCTCTTCCAAGTCTCGAGCCCCTTTCATGAAGAGAACAACATCCTCTATAAATACTGCATGAATTTGAACTACTTCGCCAGACAACTCAAAGTGATTCTCTTGATTAAATATAATTTTATAAATATTTCAATGTCTTAATGATGTCAGAATGAAGTGATTTTACACTCGTTGACTCGCCTCATCAAGACAATCGATTTTACTATGAACTTATCAAATTTGACGATCATTTGATCCCTCAAATTATGAATTTGAGCATCTTCCATAAACACTGCATGAATTTGAACCACTCCATCAGAAGATTCAAAGTGATTTCCTTTATCAGATATAATTTTATGAATATTTGATGCTTTAATGATGTCAGAATTAAGTGATTTTAAACTCGTTGATTCATCTCATGAAGACAACCGATTTTACTATAAATTTATTAGATTTGAAGATCATCTGATACCTCAAATTACGTTTCAAAACTTCTATTTATGCTTTAAGTACATAATATGGGCTTACTTTGACTCAGATTGGACCATTTTCTATATCTTTTGATTCCTTTCACTAATAAACTTCACCTGACATACATTAAAATGTGAGGTATCAGATAATATATATTTCAAAATATGTTTCAAATCCTCCATATATATATATATAGCTTCATCTTTGA